GGTTGTATTGTAATTTGTTGCAGCATTGACCTAAAGTCTTTGTCTATACAACTTTAGAGCTTTTTCCTTCTTGACAATGCCTTTTAGATATATTGTAATTCACTATCCTTTGAAACCTTTCTCATTTACCTTTTAAAACAATTATTTACGTAGTTGATAAAGTACTCACTCCGAGCTGAGCTGAGTTCCATCCTTCAATGATTGATTTTTTTTTTCTTTTTAAGGTAAATTGCCCAAAAACTGCGACCCCAAAGCGACCCCTGACCCTGAGAGGTGGCTGCCCATGAAGGAACGTTCCTACTACAGAGGCAAGAAGAAGGGAAAGAAGAAGGAGCAAATAGGGAAAGGCACACAGGGAGCGATGGCGGGAGCTTCGGCCGAGCTGTGAGTGTGGTTGCAAGTTGTGGTGATTGAAACCTCGTAATCAATCAACTCCACTAGTGGAGGAAAAGTTCTTGAGAGTGAGTTTGTAGCTCAGCCAGTGGCTCCACAGTGGAGGACACTGGTGTTGTTTGGCCAAAAATAAGGAGGATACTGTCACAGCCAGAGGAGAACTCTCATCAACACTGGGCACGGCCAGCGACATTTTTAAAAATATAAAATTACAGCTTTCAAAAGGTGCCTTCATAACTTTTAACAGAATTAGACAAGGAAATCTCTTTGGCAAAATAGATGAGCTGTTTGGCAGCCTTAACATTTCTACTGCGATACTGGGAGCGCTGCTAAAACAGCTGAATGAGCACTTAGACACTAGGTAGAAGTCAGTTATGTTCAAGCTACAATGAAAATTATATCGAGTCAAAATACCAACACTTTGTTAGCTTCTCACATGAGCTTTTCTTCTTTTGTGTTTTGTAATTGATTATCTTTACATTTGTTAGAGCAGAGACAGCATGAGGGCTGCAAACCTGATCTGTGTCCAAATATAAGGTGATAAAATATGTAGCATGAGCCAACAGCAGCTCCTGTAGATTAAACTGGGCTTCCTAAGCACTTGTACCCAAATCTAAAGAAACTCTCTTGCAACACCTGCAAGAGGTTATGATAATACAGCTCTCATTTTAGCCAGAGCGCTGCTTTATTCTGACAGCATTGTGGTTCTTCCTCTGTTCCAGGGATGCCAGTAAGACAGCCAGTAGCCCCCCTACCTCCCCCAGACCAGGGTCTGCGTCTGGTTCATCTACAGCCCCTGCCAGCAACGTGGTTCCCCCACGACAGCAGAAACCCGCAGCTTCAGGGGCCACTCGCAAGAAGGCACCACAGAAGAAGAAGAAGGGAGGCAAAGGAGGCTGGTAGTCAGCATGTGAGGCAGAGAAGCAGTCAGACACACCGACATCTGTGGCTGAGGAATCAACCGTTGTTTTTTTTTTGTTTCGATGTTAATTTAGTTTTTTTTCTCATCATGTGTTTTAATATCAAAACCAAAATCTCCCCTTTGCTCTTCTACACGATGAACATGTTTTTAAAAGTACAGAAGAGACAATATTTACAGGGCAGCTCCACTAAAATTAACTTTCTGTTGCTCTGCAAAAGCTGATGTGTCCTCAGGTGTCTTTCATTTTAAGTAGTGACCTTTAGAGGGGAAAGTAAAACCTTAACAACACAGTTGTTTAACTGTTTTTAATTAAAGGTCCACTGACAGGAAAGAATTCTTTTCTGTGTTATTACTTGGTTTTCAGAGATGAGTCTTTGATCGTTATTATTGAACAATGCATATTTTTATATCACACTCTTCTCCCCTTTTTTTGTGCATATGCAAGTATACTGTATGCAGGTAGTCAATTTGTTAAGCCTTTTTATTTATTTAAAAAACACTCATTTTAGGACTGAAATCATCATGACACAGTTAAAGGTCAGTTAAGCAGCTGCTTTTGCAATGTTAACTTGAAGTTCACTTTTGGAAGAATTGTCCTTAATATGTCTTGTGTATCAGGGTGTCGTACTCTGGTCCATGGTGTTTCCTTAAATGGTCCCATTTACTTTCAGTAAACCGTCCATCAACCAGCAGGTGTTGGTTACTGTGTCAAAGAAGATTTATTGTTGAACTCCAATGTTGGTCTTGAAGTGAACGATAATTTGAATGCTTTCAGATGCATGACTCAGAAAATGAGAACAGAGGCTATTTTGGCAGGTCCCCCATTTTGTTAAGTCTTAATAAACCCTCACAACAGCAACTCGAGACCCCTGTGTTACTTCTGAGGATTCATGCTCAGACTGTGTGTGTCTGTGGAGGAGCAGAGGGTAATCATGTTGGCTCAGCATCATCAGACCCTTCACAGCCACTGTCCTGATGACTGGGTCTGTGCAAAGAGGTGGGTTTTAGATTAATGCTGTCTTGGCAGAATAGACTGCATCACTTTACAGGTGCATGTCCTCTAAGCTTAATACGTTTGTTCTGATGCGACCTTATTCCTGCCTGAACCACGTGTAGACTGCTTAGATGTATTTCACAGGAGTCTTCTTTGTATTTTGAGGCCTCATAATGTTATAGGTTATTAATCGTGTTCTTAACATACGACCTCCATGGAGAGCTGTAGAAGCAAAAGGTAAACAGCGATCTTAATTGGGTTACTTAATTGGTTAACTGTCAGAATTAACCCCGCCCACCCAGCTCGCAGGTGATTGGCCAAAAGCGAACCTCACCTGCACCTCCTGCGGACTCGTGGCGAGCGGTTTTGACGGTGTTGGTCTTGACCTGTGACGCTGTTTCGTGGACAGGATGCCTCGTTTCCGCACTTACGAGGAGTTCTTCTACCCACCTCTGACAGAAGATGTGGAGAAACTCCTGGCTTGTTTCCAGCAGGCGGGATCAGTGAGATATCAGGTGTTTTCAGCCATTTGGAGGGAGATGGGCTTCTCAGATATCTTCAGAGGTATCTGCGGTACGGGTGAGATGAAGAGATTCTGCAGAGTAACATTAGCCACAGCCATGAAGTACTTCCTGCCTCCATACAGCTACCAGATTCGAGTTGGAGGCTTGTATTTGATGTTTGGTTTTTACCACACACAACTTGCCATGACGCCTGTGAAGATCAGACTCGCCTTGAAGGACTGGGATCAAGTTCAGACGTTTGTAAAAGACTCTGTGGACGCTGGGCATCATGATGTGGTTTATATATACAAGAAGCTTGTTGCAACCAAAGCCATACACTACACCGCCATGCCACATTTTCTCACCTTCCAAAAGCAGAGGAAACCAAAGAGGGAACCTCTGTGTGCAGAGTTTCTGATGAAGAGCACGGCAGTGCAGGAGCTCATCTCTGCAGACCTCCTGGAGGAACTGACCCACATCCAGAGATACTATGATCAGCTGAAGGAGACCACTGTGGAGGTCAGCTCCCAGGTCAACATAGTCCATCGAGACTTTGCCTCCCGCCTCAAAGACTGCGTGTCAGAGTTCACCGCTTGGCAGCAGAAGTCTTTATCGCTGGTTAGTAAAGACAAGACCTCTGGAGCTGATGAGGAGAGGCCAGCTGAAGACGAATCTAGCAGCAACAGGGCCAGGCTCCTGTCCTCCATCAAGCACAAGAGCTACAGCAGCTTCCAAGACGTGCCCAAGTCCCGGAGGCACCGCCAGGCCGAGACAGTGGACTTCTCAGGCTCAGAGGCTGAGCAGGTTCCACCAACTGTACTTCAGAGAAGGAAGCATATATCGCTGAGGGCCCGGACCTGGAGGAGTCTCGGGGTGGTGCAGGAGAGGAGCAGGCACCAAGACTGGCTCCTGAGTACTCCTGACACAGAGGACAAGGTACCTGTGAAAAGGACCAGCCATGTAGTTCCCTACAAACTGTGATGGAAAGGGGACTTTAAAGAGGTTCAGGCTGAACCTAGTTCACTTCATTTGGAAAGATATGTTTTAATTTGATAAATATGTTCGAGCTGATTGTCACTCGGCATCAGTCTGTTCAGTTTCTGCATTGATAGGCTATTTAACTGGAGCCATTTAATTTGTGAATAAATGTTTTGGTCTGCTAATAAACTGACTCTCATTCCTGTTTTATGCCTGTTTCACCGAGGAATGGTTTGGCTTCAAAAGATGGACTTTGTCTTTTCTCAGGAAATTCAGCCAGGTATTGTAAACCTGCAGCTGGATCTGCTGTCTCCAACTTTTTGTGGTGGGACTACATGCTTTTTCTTACCTTGTTGATGAGTCGCACATTCAAATTAAGGTGGTTAAATATATCTCTGGATGCCTAAGACCTGGTACAACTGGGAAGATATGTTCAGTTTTCTCTGCCTGTGTTGGGCCTCTAGCAGTAGCTTTCCAAATGATCTGAAGTTTTCTGAATTCTATTTTTGAGTCACCCAAGAAAATACCATTTGTGTGATCCGACTTGCTGGAGATGAAAGCGTGGATTAAGTCCTGACTGGACTTAAAGCCTCTTACTGTATGTTTAAGATGGTAACATGTAGATTTTAATGTAATGTTGCTGTCCAAGATACACCAAGGTTTCTCAGAATCAGCTTTATTGGCCAGGTGTGTGTCGGACACACAAGGAATTTGACTCTGGTACATTAGCTCTCAATGTGTATGTACATATCCCCAAACAAGGGGCAAGTAAACAGTAAACCAGCATAGGGATGTGTAATATAACACAATAAGCGGTATTACCAAGCAAACAATGCAAAATAAGCATTCTGACTTTTTTCGTTTGCAGAAATGAGATGATCATTAAAGGCATTTCCGTCCTTTGCATCTCTGCTTTGTCTGCATTTATCCGGAGGAAGTTAATAATTTATTTGTTGAGTTGCCCTACAGAGAGGGGCCAATCTGGGTGTCAGCTGCACAATTAATAATTAAACCTTATAAAACACAGTCGTATCAGTATTTACTGCTGTAGTATAAAATGTAAACAACCATAAAGTAGCGTACAAACGTTGGTATAACAGGTGAAACGTTTTGAATGAATGTAATGAGATTACCTGGTGGCGCCCCCACACGGTGAGACTGAGACATCGCATCCAGAAAGAACAGCGCTGTTCAATCCGGAAGCATCATTTCCTGAGCTTCCTCCCGAGCTTCCTGTGTGCTGATCCACATGTGGAAAAGCTGCCAACAAGTTGAAGAGTCACCAAAGCGCACACAATGTTGGTAACAGGTGCCAAATCAGAAGAGTAAACCCGGCAGCTGAGCACCATGTTCGGTTTGAGAGAAGCCGGTGTCGTCGGCGCCTCCGTCGCTGTGGCGGGCGCAGTCGCTTACCTTGCCTGGAACTACGCGTCCTCCCGCGGGGAGAAGAAGCCGGAGACCCGGCCGGGACAAGACGGTAGAAGTGTCAAAGAGGAAGAAAGCGAGGAGGAGGAGAGGAGAGAGGACGAGAGCAGAGAAAAAGAACGCGAGGAGAGGAGAGAGGAAGAACGCGAGGAGAGGAGAGAGGACGAGAGCAGAGAGGAAGAACGCGAGGAGAGGAGAGAGGACGAGAGCAGAGAGGAAGCTGAAGCAGAGCAAAGGGTTTTCGCTGTTGCTGCCGAAGCTCCAAAGGCGTCAGAGGTAAAATGTGACTGCAGGTGGACGGTGGGTGTTGTTACGGAGCTGCTTCCAACGTAGCCCCCGGACTGACCGCCAGGTTTCACCCTGAGGGACACCTCCTCACGTTCATCTCATTTCATTTCAGGGGTAACTTTGACCGCGGTAGAAAACATTTTTACTAACCTAGTTAGTAGAAAAGAGCAGAATGTGCCGTAACTGTTAAACGGGGGCTTCACTTATGACAACACCGTATTAATAAGCTGCTTAACTTAAATATATTTTATGACGAAAACCCTGCGGAAAGTTCGCCTAGGTTTTCTGAGGCATTCTGGGAAATGTAGGCCATTGCTGTCTCCCACATCAGTAGTAGTAGTCCAACTCAGCCACGGGAGGTTTTTTCTACATTTTAGAAAAGTTTTTTCTTAGCAGTGGTTTGGCATCAAACTGTAACATGAACATTTGTCAGGTGTTTAAAGTTGTCATTGGAAGCTCAGTCAGATCTACTGTTAAATCATTTTAATGCCAATAATGTGTCTGTAGTGGACAAACTCTAATGGGGACAGGCTTTCTAATATTTCAAGAACATACAAATCTTTGGCATTTCACTGTAATTTCATTTCAGTTTTTTGGCGGGCGGGCGTGCACAGTATGTGCCCATAAAGTGCTAATACAACTGCAATAAGTTGTCTATTTATTAATCTGCCTTTAATTTTGCTAAGACCGTTTTTTTCCATTAAGGGAAAAGTCTCATAATTCTGTATCATGTTAAGAGACAGAAGACTGGGATATTTGTAATATTTGTTAAACAGAAAAAAATAACTGCAATTATTCTTGAAAGAAAACAGCCTTTTAATCTTGGTGTACTGGCATTAGTAACTTTCAGATAATACACAGCCTTGTTCTCGTGTGTGTGTGCTTCAGTCCAGGCCTGTGGAGGCCAGGGGGACACAGGTTCTAGTTCTGGGTCTGGATGGAGCTGGTAAAACCAGTTTGCTGCACTGTTTGTCCACCGGCAGCCTGGAGCAGGGCGTGCGGCCGACGCAGGGCTTCAGCGCCGTCTCCATCAGCAGAGGGGACCTGCAAATCGACTTCCTAGAAAGTAAGTCCCGACTCTTAAGCGATCGCTTCTGTTCCAAGTCAGCGTCACAGTTATCTGTCTGTTGTCTGTCAGTTGGAGGTAAAGAGGAGCTGCGGCCGTACTGGCAGAGGTACCTCTGTAAGGCTCTGCTGCTGGTGTTCGTCGTCGACTCCTCCGACCCACAGCTCTTCCCGGTGGCCAAGAGACATTTACATGAGCTGCTGACCTCTGACCCCCACCTGCCTCTTATGGTGCTGGCCCACAAACAGGTGAGGATGGCAGACAAATACTGGTGTCAGTAAAAACCTACGGGCTTTGTACACTTGAAGAACCTTACACAGTTTATAACTAGAAACCTTTAATGCAGCTTCGTTTGTGTCCATGTGGGAAACAATTCATTACCTCTGTTATCAGTTAATGTGCTGGTTATGTTCTTGATTTGTTGTTTGGTCTAAACGTGTCTTAAAACAGTGGAAAATGTCCGTCACTGTTTCTGTTTAGTCTGATCACAATTCCAGAACCCAAATGTGTTGTTTATTATTGGCGAAGAAGTAGAAAGCAGCAGCATTTGGAACCAGAACAGAAGCTGTAGCCACTGAAAGTTTGCCTAAAGAAATTACATTAACAATCATGAGAATAGTTGCTGATAACTGAGGAACTGATTTGTTTAGCTCTGGTGTTCGTGTGGTCTCATCATCAGCCTGTGCTCCAAATGTAAGGCACAGCGTCACGACTAAAGATTCAAACACATGATTGTCAGTCACTCCCAAACCTGACGTGACTGTTGGTGGTGTTTCAGCTGTGATCTTCAGTCACCTGTCTCTCACGTGTGTGAACAGGAATCTATTTTAATCAGTCCATCTGTCTACACACGCCACAGATCAGCTGATGCTAGGCTTGTATTTTTACACTATTCTCTTCTGATTTATGCATATAACTATAGCGTGTGTTGGACTCTGAGCGCTGCCACGGCGTGCGTGACCTACCCTCAGTACTGTGCCAACACAGAAGGAGGACTGAAGCTGTTCCTCTGCAAACATGCAGCTCGTACCTCCTGTGCAGCACCAGTTGGTTTTTAATGTTCTGATTCCATGAGCACAGGAGTAAAGCTTGCCTGCATCAGATGATGCCATTTCTTTTCTCAGCTGCCAGAACCATCATTAATAAATTGGGGCAGTGGTTGTGTGTCAGAGATAGGAGCTTGTAAACAGAAGGTCATTGGTTCAGTCTTCGGACCAGAAGAATTAAGTCTGGATGGGACAGATGGATAAAGCAGCCACCACTGTGACCTTTACCAAGGCCCTTAACACCCTCCTCTGCTCCACTGGAGCCGCTCACAGCCAGTTGTTATATTCCAGGCTACCTTTGCTTTTCCAGTTATGAACGATAACAATAGTAGCTGTTAGTTATTTTTAAAATACTATGTAAACACGATCTGTCCCCTGAGAAACGACGTTGAACTGATTTAGGCAAAGGTACACCCATCCATCCCCAGAAAGACAAAACTAGAGGACAAGCCTATGAATACAAGTAGCCTTTCCAACTTATTTTCCACTAAGCCCGTTTTATGCAGATGGTTGGATATAAAATGATATTGGTGAAGTATCTAGTGTGTAAATTTCCCAGATGTTTCCCTCCTGTTTCCAGGATCTTCCAGGTGCCTGCAGCAT